TCGTGTAAAAAACATTTCTGGATTGATTATTCAGGACTTCAAAGAGAAAAAGATTTACTGCAAAGATGATGTTCAACTTGCTGTTGAGAGTATGACACCCCTTTTAACTGGATCTACACAGTTCGACACATTTAAGGACTGTTGTTTAACTGTGTTTTTGATGAATGTGCAAAGTCTGAACCGGCATGTGAAAGATGTAGCATTTTGTACAAAACAATTAAAACCTAATTGCATTGCAGTAACAGAAACGTGGCTGCCTGTTTCCACAACAGATGCAATAAATATTGATGGTTACACATTCAACAGCTGTCCACGAGGTTTAGCATATTCTGGCAGAGAAAAGGCATTGTTGGCATTTAAAGACCAGCAACATGGTGGTGTTGGCATCTATACTGTAAAAGGTTTGTCACTTGAAATCTTGAAACCACCAAGTGTTGATCTGGAATGTGGAGTGATAAGATTGTATGATTTCAATATCATACTTGTGGTTATATATCGTCCACCACTGTATCCTCATTCCATATTTAAAGCAAATCTGGGAAGATTGCTTGAATGGCTTGAACCACTAAGTGACACAATAGCACTGATGGGAGATTTCAATGATGATATTTTGAAGACCTCAACCATCTGCAACTTTATGACTGACAGGGGTTTTGTACAGAAAGTCAGGGGACCAACTACAGAGAGGGGAACTCTGATTGATCATGTGTACTTAAAGTCAACAGTGTATGAAATGGATGCATTGACTGTCGCAACATATTTTAGTGATCATGAGGGCGTAATGTGTGGTTTTAAGTTCTTGTAGTTTAAGTACATGTAGTATTTTGAAATGGAAATGCTACTTTAATTGCAAATCTCTACGATGTAAACTTTTCTAAAACTTCTCATGTTGTTACAGCAAACAAACTAAGAACAAATTTAGTTATTTTTAGTGGCAAAAAACCTCATCACTACCATTAAAAGGTTTTGTTTCTTGCATTAAGAACAGTAATTTCTAAAATATGTAGTTACTCATATTCAGAGATAAATAAAAACACTTATGGGTTAGAACATACTTTCTTCTTTTTGGCGAAACATAAAATGTATAAATTTTTCATGCTGTTCTTAATGCAAGTTTTGCTTCACCTTGTCATATAACACAAAAAGCAAAAGACATTGGCAGTGGTGCTCCCTTGTGGGACAGGGTTCGACTCCCTGCTATGTCCTGCAATTGTGTGACAAGAGTATCAAAATTCTATAAGTACATCATTCGATTGAAGATCCTTCATAGTTAAATGTGAGGAGTTTTCATAGTGGTTCCTACTTTCAATTACATACTGTCATGAACT